GAAGCACATCTCTTGTGCTTGTCCTCATTACAGTTCAGTGTTTTGTTTACTTGGTAAACTGAAGGTTCCTCTTGCTGTCTTAATGATGACGAAAGTGAGAGGTGGTAACCAAGTCTGTTTTGGATGGTTCATCACAGTAGTGTCATGACCCAGCCTGGGAGCCCAGAGGGTCACAATGGTTCTGTGATCCCCTCGAGTTAAATTAAGGTGAAACAACACCAAACAAGTTAAAATGTTTTACTTGCAGTAGAAAACAATTTAAACTTGGATAATAAGCCATGTGATCTCTTATAAATCTATAAGAAGGAGAAGAGTCAAATCCAGATTACCACCCCTGGATCCAGTGTTGTTTCAGGTCTGATAATTTTGGGTGGTGGGTGCACACACAGCAAAGTTTTCTGTGACCCTTGAAGTTCATCTTATCAGCTGATTATCATACTGGACAAAGAGAGGCAGGTATTCCATGAACTCTTTTCCATGAGAGACAGGCCAAAGGTGGAGCATGGGTTCTGCACATGTGTTGGGGGGGCAATGGAGTGCACTAACCTTTTTGTCCAATTGAGTTGGTGGTTGTGATCTCCCCCTGCCCCTTTACCTTTCCCTCAGTTTTGGTTTCTTGGGCAATTACCCAGTCATTAGCTCCATCTGGCATTAGTTGTTTATCTTTCTTACCACTCTTTTAGCATTCCTTGGAGGCTGTAGTCATAAACTAAAGTGTAGGCCTTAACCTGAACATACGGTTTTACTCAAGTCTACATCTCCTCCCTTCAAAGTTTATCTAAGGAATTTGGTTATAAAACCACAAGGGAGGAGAGCCATGCACCCTTCGATACACCCTGTGCTTCCCTGGGCAGATAGTTCATTCCTTAGACTAATCACAAAGGCCACAATTTGTCCTTGAGTTTTTTTGTCAATGAATGTTTGAGGCATTATTTCCTTCAGTTCCTTACACAGTGCTGTGCAGATATTTGAAAAGCCTAGGTATAACCTGTCACCTGGGTTGTTTCCTAAAGCAAACTTTAGGAAACAAAACTCCCCTTGAGGAAAGACTTAAATTTTCATTATTTTAAGGATGAGTTAAAGCCCAGATACTTTGTAAAATGACACACTATCCACCTGAAGATCAAACCAGAATGAAAAATCTTACTTCATCTTTACCAGCTATGTTGAAAATTGTGAAGAGCAGTAGAATGTGTGCACCAGTCTTACAAGTCTGTGTGTAATGACTGATAATTGAAAATCCTTTTTGAAGTTCTTACTGTCACGATTGTCTTGCCTCTCTCAAATGCTGTTTTCTTGTTTGTGTGTACATAATTGCAAATGGGAGCCCTTAAAACAACAAAAATCAATGCACTTCCGTAACCCAGGAACTTTCTAAAGCATATTGCCTTCGAGCAGCAGGAATCCTGGCAGTCTTTGATTCTGCATTCAGGAGATTCCTCCAGTTTCAGTGAATGTCTGAGCCTTACATCTGATGTAGAGGCACCCTGAGTAAGGAGAATACAAAAGGAAAATCAGTAGCTGGCTTACGTCTTTATGTTGGCATTTGGTTGTTCAGAATACACAGAGCAGTAGCATTTTCCATTTACCATATTTGGGCTAAGGCTAGTCGGTCAGCTTTGTCCTAATCAACAGTGCTAACTCCCTCAAAACCAGATCTTATGGGCCTGTTTTGAGAACTTCAGCTCTTGTAGCAGGGGTTGACACACAATTTTTCCTTTAACTTTTAATAGGCTGGTTTTCTGTGCATTATTCAAAAGGAAGGAAAGTGCCTCAGATGTCCACTGTCCATTAACGCTTATCCTAAATGCAGTGTGGTGCTGCTGAATCCCAGGGCAGTTTGCCCTGGTTAGCCAAGTCACTATAGTGATTTCAAAGAAATTAAAAATTGGAATACAAAAAATTCCCAAACCCAAACAACAAAACACAGACTAAAACCCACGGCATCCTCATTGTGATCCTAAGTGCAAATTTTCATTTAAGGTATTAGTACTTCTGTCTTAGTTTTGATATAAGTTGTTACCACAAGGTACAGCATGATGTCTTGTTAAAGCTCTAAAAGGTGTATTTTCCTCTTTGCCTTTCAGGCACTATGGAATCACTACTATTATAGGGACTCTGAACTTCACTGTTGTGTATCAGTTTTAGTAAGGAGGCTGAAAATTGTCCAGCCATTAGAGAGTGCATTGGAAGTCACCACTTTAAACTAGGTTTTTTCATCACTCCCCCGCCACAACTTACTGAAAGTGCTTTCTGAAAAACTGCTTTTCATGTTTTGTGCTGCCATCCAGGCTAACAGGCACTAGCAAAACTGTTCTAGACAGAAATCTTGAGTCAATGGCATGCTTCCACTCTTCACAAGCCTGAAGATAGATGGCGTTCTGCTATTTTATTACTATTGATGGTCAAGTGTCTGAAACCTTTTGGATGCATTTAGGAGTAGTGTGGTACTTGTGGTAAGTGGCTTCCTTTTCAGGTTGCAGCATAAGCCTGAGTGTTCAAAGAGCAGATGTGCTTGCCAGAGATTGGAACAGTGCTGATTGGCTAATAAAAATGAGTTGTCATTAAGCTGAAATGTGTGTGTGGGAAAGAGGTAGAAATTAGAGAAGCTTTTTAAAGCTGTAGAAAAGAAGGGCAGACTGAGCTAAGTATACTGTTAATCAGTTACAGATTGACTGTTTTGTTTTGTGGAAGTAAGTATACACAGTAGTCAGTCAAAAAATGCAATATTTTTTTTTTTCCATGCAGAAGTATGACTGCAACAACCCCAGATGTGCTGCCTGTAAATGAGTACTCTCTGGAATGGTTGTCAGGGCTGGCCTTGTAAATGGAGACAAGCAGGATTTTTAAATGCTGAGTTGGGGCCTGCCACAACACAGTGTAGCCACGTTTGGGGGAGCCACCTACAGTTCACTTGCATTGGCTCTGTTCTTTGTGCTCAGTAGACATGTTTTTTTTCACCTTGTGTCATTGCAATAGGTTTTGCAGACTGCTGCCCTCACAAACTATTCTTTCTGTGGAAACTGACATGGCCTACTTGTACAGTAGAAATGTCCTTCAGAAAAAAGTGATATTTTATTTAACTTCTCACTTTGCCAACATATAGTTTTTCTCCAGGTAGGTCACCTAGTTCAACCCACCATGCAATGAGCAGGGAGATCTTCAACTAGTTCAGGTTGCTCAAAGCCCCATCCAGCTTGACCTTGAATGTTTTCAGGGATGAGGCATCTACCACCTTTGTGGGCAACCTGTTTCAGTGCCTCACCACCCTCACAGTGAAGAACTTCTTATGTCTAATCCAAATCCACCCTCTTTCAATTTAAAGCTGTTACCCCTCATCCTATCCCTACACTCCTTGAAGAGTTACTCTCCATCTTTCCTGTAGCCCCCCTTAAGTGCTGGAAGGCTTCTCTTCTCCAGGATGAACAACCCCAACTCTTCTCAGCCTGTCCTCGTAAAGGAGGTGCTCCAGCCCCCATTCATCTTTGTGGCCTTTCCTGGGCCTGCCCTGTCAATTGCATTCATGTCTGTCTTATACTGGAGGTCCCCAGAGCTGGGCACAGGACTGTAGGTGGAGTCTCACGAGAGCAGAGGGCTGTGAGTGCATGTTGCCAGCTCCTGTCCAGCTTTTCATGGCCCAGTACTCCCAAATCCTTCTCCATGGGGCTGCTCTCAATCCCTTCATGGAATACTTACCCTAGGACAGTTATTTTGCGGACAGTTATTTTGTCTGTAGGTATGAGATGATGCTGGAGGAAATGACCAAACAGCATTGGGTTGCATGCTACTAAAAGAGAATAAGCATTAGGGTCACTTTGTGAAAGTTGTTGCGGTAGCTTAGGCTAAGCTGAAAAGTTACAAGGAGAGGAATGCTTAACAAACTACACTTGGCTGTGAGGTTGCAGTGTAGTAGTTTTGTCAAGTCTGAGCTTGTATACATTACTATAAGCATGCAACTGGGTGGTAGAGTGGTGCAGACTGAGTGGCACAGAAGTAAGGTAGACCACTTACTGTCTCAGTGGATCTACCAACTAAAGAACTAAGGGCTATCAAAAAAATAAAGAGCCCATGTATGGTGGTTCTTGAAGCAGAACACTTCTGAATCCCTTGAATATATATGATTTTTGAGGGAAGTCTTAACAAGTACTTAATGAAAAAAATCCACTAGTAGTCACTAGTTCTCTGGAGGCTGTGTAGAAAAAAAACAAGAATAGGACAAGTGCTTGGAGGATAGCATCAAGGAAATGCCTGATGGAGAAAGTTATTATTAAATAGAAACCAAGCCTAAGGTAAATATATGGTTGTTCTTACCCTTGGCTTCTAGATAAATTGAACAGGGTTGAAGAAGGGCCCAGTGGGCCCAAGGTGCTGAATTGTTCTGTGACATGATGTGGCAAAGGATACAAAGCTTTCCCTCACTTTTTTTGTACAGGTAGCATAATTCGTTGCATGAGGAGGCTAGAAGAATTGCTTCGGCAGATGTGCCAGGCTGCAAAAGCCATTGGAAACACAGAGTTGGAAAATAAGTTTGCAGAGGGTATGTATTTCACTTCCACAGTATAAGTAATTGTAGAAAGCATATGAAAGGAGAGGGCTGCAGGGAGAGGAGGCATGATTTGGTATCAACAAGCTTCTGGTATCAACTTCATGGTAAGCAGAATCATTGCTCTCCTTCCAGACAACATCTATGTTAAATTTGACTTAAATGCGTACTGACAGTTTAACCAAGTTTGTGACTGAAAATGGATGTACAATGATTTCTGTTTAAGGCCTGTAACACCTTCTGTGCTGCAAAGTATTACAGACCTGTAACTGCACTGAAAATAGTGATTGTGTCAATTATGACTGCTGGATATTCAAACAGTTTTCTTTTTTAATAGGGATTACAAAAATCAAGAGAGACATTGTGTTTGCTGCAAGCCTTTACCTGTAACAGAAGGTATCTTCTAGAAACAGTACTAGATTCACATTACGAACAAGATCATCAGCTTCACATGCTATTTTCATTTCAAGTCATTATTTTGTTTAATGGTGTGTATTTAAAACCACAGTCATTTATTTGTACATGCCTTGCTGAGACAGCAGTGTATGTAATATAACTGTTACTATGTTTTCAATAAAAATTTACAATTTGAATAGGTTTCTTTTATGCAAGAGCTTGAGCCAACAGAAATTTGAAGTTTAGATATACATTTACAGTGGTAGATGTTACTATATACAGGTAAGGTGAGCATCCAAGAGCAGCAGCAGTCTCTTAAAGGCATTTACTTGTATTACATAGTTAGACTTGTGAAATTATTTTCCTTTCAAAGAGCAAGGCAGGTGAGGTGGGCCATTCTTCATGGTTGATGATTGCTGGCAAAGTGATTTCCATTTGTTGGAGTCTCATGTAGGGTTGTATGGGAATCTTCTTTTGGTTGAAATGTACATCCTCTCACTTTGAAGAAGTCAGACACATACACAACCTAAGTGAACAAATAAGGGTTAAGTTCTTGCACTTGTGCAGAAGGTAAATTCCACAGTCAAAAGTAATAAAACATTTAAACAGATTAAAACATTAGGAAATGCTAGGAAATCTTAAATACAATTCTGGCATCTGTTCTTTCAATAGGTTTTTCTTCAGCTATTACTCCCCTCCCACTGACTACTTAGCCACTGATGGTTTAAGCCAAATTCAAGGTGTATGTATCAGGCACTGCTTCATTACAATAGCCACAGTCTCAACAAATGAAGGAACAAGATAGGCTTGCTGAGGGCCCACATCACATGTACTGTTAAATTTATTCTGTAATTCATTTACAACAGGACAGGAGATCTTGTGCTTTAGCTGAGAAATAGGGCTCAGTAGTTTGATACTATAGAGACTAATAGTTACTCTCTCACTTTCATTTCTTTAAAAGCTGGTTAAACCAAGCTTGCATTCCTCTCCTTGACAAGATTCACAGCAGCTCCCTTCCCCAACACCTGTGTCTCACCCAAGTTCCAGCATCTACCTTTCCTACATTCCTTTGAACATACCAGTTCCTTCACAGCTACCAACTATGAGACTTGATCCAATTCTGAGGCTTCCCACTACCCACTTCATCAAGCCATACTAGTGATTGGGTAGAGTGCTGCATGAAGTACAATAAATGAGAAGCCTTCTCAGGATCCCTTCCCTTCCTACTTCTTCCCCTCCCAATGCAAACTGGAGAACTGCAGAACATAATTCAGGGCAGCAGCAGAAGACAACTTCCACACCAAGCTGATGGCCCAGCCTGCTGCTTACGATGCAGTTTCAGCTTGCACTTAATGCTGAATTCACTCAGCTCAATTTAGTGCTCCATTTGCAGGTGTAGTCCCAGCATGCTTACTTAGCTCGGCTTTCTGTTTCTGGAGGTGAACTCTTCAGTTCTTTCAGATAATGGGTTTGAGGAAGTTTATTCTTTTCCTCACATTTCAACACTGTTCACTGTTATGCCACCTTCTACTCATTCTTGTATTATCGAGCATCTCTAAGATACCCTCTCAATCATCCAACACCCTTCACTAAACTCATTTTTCTAATACAAGTGCCCTCAGTTCATCATTCCCTGCGCTCCTTTTCTTAGATTGTACAAAAACAAGAGGTAGGATTATGTTTTAGTCAACATGCAGCCGTTTAATAACAGCTAATGTAGCATGTAGGTTTCCCAGAGCTACTCCCAAGATTTGATGATTGCAACAAGTAAACAAAGCTTTGTCTTGACATGAACCATACCCTTCTGACTTTCAGCTGAGAAAGTGCTTATCATGGAGGCTGTTCTTCTCAGTGAGCCTCAGTTCTTGGTAACTGAATTCTTTAGTATTAGTTCATGTCTCTGAACCAGAAGTCTTGATCTGTCCCTTCTCATGGATGAATCAGCCATGGCACTGTTGACAGCCAGCACAACTGCTGCCACCAAGTCAACCAGGCCTGCAACTCCACATTTAGCTGATTGTTTCTTGGAATAGCATTTCACTCATCAGTACAGCTAAGCTTCACATGCTGGTTGCTGTGAACAACTTTTAGCAGTCAAAATGCACACAGGAAATGGTGAAGGGTTTTTGTTTCCCATCAGCCTAAAAAGGCAGGCTGTGAAAGCTAGCAGAGGCAGACACTGCACACACTGTCTATATCATTAAAGGCCTTTTTTTGCCCAGCTTACCTCATACACAGTTCTATTGTACCTGCAATTTAGAATTTGGCTAGAAGCAAAAGCTCTATCTTTTCTTGGTTATATAGAGGCCCACACAGCTTTGCAGTTGACCGTTTCCATCTCAGTTATTTGAAAAGCTCTTGGGCAGGGATAATTTCACATTGTCCAACAGCTAAAACAGCCACTTATCATCAGCTCAGAGTCTGCCACTCTCCCAGAAGTACTATGGCTACATCCAGTTCAAGGAGTTGTTTCCCCCTCTCCAGCAGTCTTCAAAGCATTAGGAAGACAGGTTGGCTTTCATCTGAACATAGCCTGCAATTCTAAGGTGCTGTTTATAAAAGCAGTGTTTACACACACACATCCACCATCTCAGAAATTACTTACAATGAGCACAGCTACCACTGCTCCCTGAATGAGTCCTGTTAAAACATCACTCCAATGATGCTTGTAATCAGAAACACGTGAGAGACCCACATAGATAGATGCAGCAATAAGACCAAATTGTAGAGTAGGACGTACAAGTCTTGCCCAGTCTCCTTTCATTCTGGCCTGAAGGTAAAGCTAAAAGGAAAATTATAAAATACATTAAATACAGAAGCAGTAACCATCACGAAGAATTGTGTTGTGTCTGTTCAAAAAGTTGAGTTGAAATTAGTGTTCAGAGACACGATAACATCCACAAATGTTCCAAATGCTATACTTGCACAAATATGCTAAGGCAGAGTTTGATAGTCAGTGTTGCTCTATATGTTTTACATAAAGCTATATAACACCATCATATAGATACTTGCTGTATTTGTACCAATGTGACAAATTACTGTTTTCAGGATAAAGGTACTGGTAAATACCAGAGCCACTTAAGGCCTAGAAAGAATCCAGTGGAAGTCAAACCAGTATTCTAGTCCTACATTAACTACAGGTAAGTCTTACACACACAAAAATCTGGCAACCATCCAAAATTACAGTCCTACAAATATAGGGAGCCCCATCTTGCTCTGAGCAGGAAGACCATTAACACCTTTAGTAAAGTTTACATATATTATGCACAGAGTTGACAAGTTTTTAACCTTATTCTCAATTCCAGTCACCTTCAGTATTACCAACTTTTAGCATAATATTCCAGCGGTAGTTAAGCATCAGAACTAACTTGATATATCAAAATTTAGGATAACATTCCTCAGTTGTCACTGCTGTATTTCACTGTGCTCCATCTGTTCCTAGCCCTTTTTAGCTGCACACTAACCATGTTGCCACTCTGGTAAACCAGTGGATACACACAGTTCTCATGCTTTTTTCCCTCCCCTCGTGTATGCTTTTGATGAGTTCTCAAACTCACAGTATTCCTTACTTTTCCATCTAATTAAGACCCTGCTTTTCTCTCCTCTGGTCTGTCTAGGACAGAGATCTCTTATTTCAGCTTTAAGAGGAGCTTCTCCAAATCCACCCTGTAAACATCACTGAATTTATTCTAGAACTTGATCCTGTCAAGACAGGCAACATAGTTACCATATTTACAGAGAAGAACAACACGGATGGAAGTTAGATTTAACATTTCAAGTACCATCTAGGAACTGCAGGTAGAGTACAAAACCTTAGCTTCTATGATTTTGCAAGACTGTCAGTTAACTAAAACACAGGCTTCAGGCACTAAGCACACTAAACTTCTGGTAAATCCCTCTGTTGCCAACTGCAAAAGCCATGGCTACCTTTTAAAGGCATCACATTGACAATGTAAATACTGGCATAGAGCATGCACTGTAGATACAAAGGCGCTACTTTCCAAAGTTAAACATTTGAGGAAAGTTTGGTTGGTTTCTGTAACTCACATCATAATTTTGGCATGCTGACTTTTTCAGCTATAAATGGAACATCAGAAAAATCAACCCAGTCCATAAAGTTTTGTTAATAGTAAGGTCATGGTGAAAACTGAAGCAGCTACAGCTAAGCCTGAACTGGAAAATAGGTTTTTTTCCCCCAAGTGGTGGGCACAGCCCATTTCTGGGGACCTTAATTTCAGTACTAGGGAAAATACTATTTAGCCACTTCAAAAATTAGTTGTCACACAGTTCTTTTAACAAAAGATGTTTTAATGGTCTTATATTAAAATTACCTCTGGATTTACCAAGAGTAGACCAGACGACTGAGTGCCAAATTGAGCACAGGTAGGTCTAAGGAACACATGCTGGTAGCCCAAAGAGATCTGGCTGATGATTTAATACTGGCTGTTCTTTCCTCTTTCCCTATTCACACAAAATTCTATGTAAGACAGCTAAAGACACCTTGCTGTAATAAAAGTTTTTTCCATGTAAGCATTTCTGATAGTTGAGAAAGATCTATAGTTGTATTAGAAAAAACAACTGCAAATAGGTGAAAAAGCAGGTTTACTTCTCAGAGGAATTAAATGAGGCAAGCCAGACAAAAAACAAAGTTGGAAAGATGCCAGCCCACAACACCAGATGACCAATAAAATAGTCTTTGAATCCCTGTTACACAACATGTATTCATATTTTCTTTCTGCTTGACAAAGCATCAAACAAGACACTTGGATTTAACATCTACATGAAGACAATTTCTGTAAGAAGAAAGTAATCTCCAGTCATAAAGAAGATCTGGAGATGCTTTATCACCTGCAGAACACATCCAATTGGCTACTGGCTTCATCAATTCTAGGTGCCTCTTCACAACACCAACTCCAGTAGCTGCACAGAAAATGCCCTTCTTGTGCCTTATTCTAAAACTAGGTGTGAAAAGAGTGAGGAATCATACCTCAGGTGTCAGTGACTGATCACTGCTGTATTTACTTCCAGAAGTAGCAGCTGTTGTGATTTTTTCCTTTTTTTTTTTGTTCAGTTGAGAGTAACTGATTATTAACCAGCTGCTACAGTGGTGAATTCCATGTTATTTTTAAAGAGGTAACTTCAATCTGACACTGCTTTTAATAGACTCAGGCAGTCACACTCTCCTGCAACGATCCTTCCTACTACCATGACTCACTCAGACAAGTGACATGTCTGGGCTGAAATGGGCAGCAGGACCGCACAGGGAAACAGAGCAGCCAAAGAGAGGCAGGAGCTTTTGCCTTACAGTTCATAGACTCACAGAATGGTTTGGGTTGGAAGGGACCTTAAAGATCCATTAATATAAACCCAGTTTGATACCCTAAGTATGACCCAGTAGTCCTTATATAGCATTATATGCACAATATAGAGGTGTCCTGGTGTTACACTGTATTAACACTTACTACTGTTTTGACCCTGTTGACTAACAGAAGGCCATGACTTCAGGCTGTTTACAGAACCCCTCCTGACACAGTATGCCTCAGCTTCTTTTGCTCCTCTTTGAAGTCATTTACAGCACAGGCTTAAAAAAGGGAAACAGAAGCAAATCCCTGCCTGCCCCTCTGCCTAAGTATGTTTGCTAGAAAGGAATAAGCTTTAGAGTAGAATTTGTAATCTACAGATGCAGCAGGAACTTTAGGAAGCGCCATCTGCTACATACTAGTGTAACACCCCTTCACAGCAGTTCACTTGTTGCTGAGAAATACATCTGTGGGTTTACAAACACAGCAGGAGCATCCACAGCCATTCTGGTAGCAACGTGCTCCTGTAAGTGACAGCTATGACACCATGCCAGCTTCCTGGCTATCCTGTTTCTGAGCATCTGTCTGATCATTCAGTAATATAATTCAGCTATGATCTATTTCTCCATCCTGCTGTTTCTCATGTTTGTTTTGTAAAGTACATTAAAAGATTTCGTAGAAACTTTCTTGTAATAGGATTAAATAATCTTGAACTTTTTTCCCCCAGTACTAGCTAATGCTTACTCTATAATGAAAATATGTTCTTTACACCACACACATCCTGAACACAAGTTTCTTCTTAATCTATGGTCTAGTACTTCATTTCTAAAAATACACACAGGAATGAGAAGAAACTCACAGCCACTTTGTGGCTTGTTGCAAGAAGCCACAGACATGAGTGGAAGGGTCTCTGCAACTGGAGAGTTATTTGCTGCTCTTAATCTTTCTAGCATAGCTTTCAAGTATTTGCTCTTCCACTAAAGCAGTATTAATATACATATATACATGATGCCTGCCTACCTGATTTTAAAGTACAGTGACTTTTATTTCCTAGGTGGACTTTTGTAACCATGCAGCTTCACAAGAAGATTTCCCAACAGCCACCATCACACATCCCTACCTTAAGGGCACAAAATTGTTTTAAATCTACCAAAACCACCTCACTCCACAAACAGGTCATATTTCAGATACTTCAATACTTAAAACTCCTCAGTCATTTCTCATTCAATATCTTTTCAGCTTTTTTCCAAAATCCTATTACACTAATCCTGAAAATTCTATACTGCAAGATGTTTTGCCTATTAGGGCATGGGAAATTCTCCTGTACTTAAAGAAAGTTTTTGGGGTTTTTCTCCAACCCAGGAAGAGTTTTACTGGTACTAATTGATTTGTTCTGTCACTTTTCAAAAATTATTTTCTTCAATAGGATTTTAGGTTTCCCAGTATCAAAAGGCCCTAGTTATCACACTTTCTACAGGTTTCCTGTTGTGTCCTAAGGACTAGAAGTACACTTTCCCTTTGGAGATGTACCGTTTTCCTTCTTATTTTTGTCTCTCCAATCCTAATATACTCATAGCATCATGAACTTAACAGCAAAACAGAGAAAGCATATGGTTTTCTTAAAGACAAAACTCCTCTGTGAGACAGGGAAGTGAGAACACTTCTTGAATTGCCTGAGTACAAGTAGTAAGAGTCTGAAGGAGAAATAAAGGCGCAGAAAGTCTGTTTTCTTACAAAGCAAGCCCTACTGTGAGAGACAGTAGTGGCTGATATAAGTTTTGGGAGAGAACAAGTAAATGGCATTTACTTTACTTAACTTAGCATTTATCACTAGTCATGTCTAACTTCAGTTTCATGATACCTGCCTGAGCATCAAGAAAGTCCTATGGCATTACTGTTTTGCTCTTAACAGGCACAAGATCCTACTGCAGTTATAATTAGTATTTGGTTCTTTTATTGACTATCCTTAGAAAAGCTCATACTTTGAAGCAAGTCTGCTGACCTGAAAAGTTCAAAGTGCCACAAACAGTAATCAATGCTGTGGAAATCATAAGAATTCTTCCCAAGCCAAGGGCTCTGAAACAGTAATGCATAAGCCACCTCAAGTGTGTGTACACATGCATGTGGTTGGGTTTGGGATTTCTGGGGTGGAGGGAGGGGATATATAGAGGTACTGTGTTTTAGTGGTTTTGTTAATGAGACTGAGGTGGAAGTAGAAGGGAAAAGCACATGAGGCACCAGTGTTTTAAAGTCTTCAGAAAATACGACCTCAGAATAACTAATATGATAAACAATAGGGCAAAATTCTCCAGGAGATCAGGGGTTAGGAAGGAAGACTGAGAACCCAGGCACACTTGTAAGACAAGTAAATTTCATTTCTATGAATATCCCAAGAACATCATTACAGGATACTCCTCAGACTTAAGTCATCCATTAAGAAACTGAATAGATGCACAGAGCACCAAAGTAACTATCCACCCTC